CCCTGGGGTCAGAAACATCTGGTCTGGTGGTCTCCACCCTGATCTTCTCTTTCCCTCTTATCAGGTGAGGACAGCCTGCCAGGGGCTTCACTCTCTTTATCAGGGTGAGAGGAAGAAACTTGTTTGAGGCCATCCTGGAGGGCTCTGTGGGTGTACCTGCAGGTTTCAAACTGGAGTTTTTAAAATAGAATTGCTTAGGCTCAGGCCTAAGGCCATCCTAACAGTTTGCTATTAAAATACATTAAACTATTAAAAATGTGTTTGCTGTAATATAAACCTTATGGTGGAAAGGTAGCCATTTTGAGCCACCCCTAACCCCCCCAGCATATTTCCCTTTGTCCTCAGTCTTCCAACCATAGTGCCTCTAGTGTAATAGTGATCCAATCATAGCCCTTTCCCTTGCTCTTCCAATTTTATATTAGTCAATTATGTGTATTGTAACTCCTAACTCCGCCTATCAGAACAAGTGTCAGTGCTGTATGAGGGATAGAAACCTGGTCAGACTTCCTGCCCAGTATGCTTGCTTGCCAGATTTTTGGTAGCACAACCTTCTGCAAAAGTAAAATTTGCCTTGACAATTTTTGAATACATGTCTGATATCTTGTAGTAATCCACTATTTCTAATAATCTTCTTTCTATTTTTCTCATTATATGAATCATAGTTATTTTGGAGTCTTTATCTGATAAATCTAATATCGGAATCACTCATAGAATGAATTCTATTGTTCTCTTTTTCCTTTTCTCTTATTTTCAGCATTGTGGAGAGCAGTGACAGAGAATGGGAGAGCAGTATCTGACTGTGGGGTCTCTGATGACCTCATGCCTGTGGCATGCAGAGTGCTAGGGAATGTTCTGTGCAAGAGCACAGGATGCTTAGCTACTGTGGTAATGCCTTGCATGAGGAGGCTCAGTGCAAGAGTCTTATCAGCTTTGTCCTTGATCTCAGGCACATAACTCCTGGGAATAGAGGGATTCTCTTACTAGACAACAACAATGTTTCACTAGCTCTGTTACTCCTGAGCCTGCCCACTTAACAGTAACTTTAAACAATGGACCCTCTTGAGAGCTACACAAAGCTCCTAAAATTGCACATTGCAACTGTGGATTGCAACTGTGGAAAAACTACATAGATGTTTCTAGTTTCTGAAACTTTCCTGAATAAAAAGCATAATGTTCCCATATTATTTCACCTGATAATGAGATATATTTAAATAAAGTTTGCTGGTGTAACTCTTTAGATCTGATTCTCCATCACAGAGCAGCACTCCACCTAACCCCAGTTTTATCTTCAAAATCATCTGCGAGTGTGAGTCTTTTTACTTTTCTTATCCCCCTTTGTCCCTTGCTGGAACTTGCAAGTTTGGCTGCACTCGTCACAGCTCAACATGACTCATAATTTTAATTATTTCCTGACAACACAGTAGAAGAAAAAATGTAGTCTCTGGTCCAGCATGGTGGCAAACACCTATAATCCCAGCCCCTTGGGAGGCTGAAGCAGGAAGACTGCAAGTTTGAGGCCAGCCTCTGTGATTTAGCAAAAGCCTATCTCATAATAAAAACAAGAAAATAAAAACAGGCTGGGGATGTAGATCATTGGCAGAGTACCCCTGATTCAATCCCCAGTGCTGGGGGGGGGGGAGTAAGAGTCTCTGGATGATATGTATCTCTTAAAACAGACGACCTTAAACCTGTCAATGATTAGTTTTAAGCTATTTCATTTTGTTCTTATAACTAGTGTGTAACCCTTACTTCTAGGGCATGCCTATGGCTTTTCACCCCAAAGCCCCTTGTATTTCCCAAGGCTCATCCATCTTCCTGGAATTTGAATTATATAGTCTCTGTTTGTGCAACACATCTGAAGGCTCTATTTACCTTTTAGTCTCTTAGCTACTATAGTTTCTCTCTGTCCGTGTACAGTTTAGAGAAGCTGTCCAGTAGCATGAAGTAAATTTATATGCAGATTTTTATGTTTAATTCTCTGTAGTTTCTTCCTTTTTAGCAACTTGTGCTTCCTTAATTCTTTCTGCTTGGGCAATAAACAAACAAAAAAAAAATTAGAAGATGCCCTCAGAGAAAGAAATCTCTTATACTTCTCTTCTGTGAGGTATCATAGTCCCTCAAGTCTTACTGTTATAGGGACAGACGAGGTAAGGCACTGAAGACAGCAAGAAACAGTTTTATTTGGCTGCAGCCAGGTTCAGAGGGCACAGCTTTTGCTGTAATCAATCAATCCCCTGAACACCGAATTCAGGTTTCAGAATTTTATACCCAACATGTAAGGGGAGGGGCTTAGAAAGTTCACAGTCTGCAGAAGTTCACATAAAAGCAGCTTTTTCTTTCACTGTTCTGGGCAAGTTAACCCTTCAAGGACAACACCTGAAAAGGAGAGAAGAAGAAGTTTCTTCTCCCCTTTCTTTCCTCCCCCTGCCAGCTGTTACCACGGAGCCTAATTGGTTACTTTTCTCTTTTTTAAAAATTTTTTACTTAGTTATTGGTGGATCTTTATTTTATTTATTTACATGTGGTGTTGAGAATTGAACCCAGTGCCTCACACATGCCAGGCAAGTGCACTACCTCTGAGACACAGTCCCAGCCCTGGTTATTTCTCTCATCTTAGAAATGTAGATCTCTCTGTGAAGCCCCAGCTCAAGGCCAGAGGCCTTATTAAAGTATTTGTCTTTTTTTTTAATCACATTTGCAAACACACTTTTACAAACTACTATACTGGATACATGTTTGTGAAAAACAAGTAAAGGGGGGTTCAGCACCTGGAGTGCTAATTTCTTCCTGGCCAGTGGCCAAGTAAAATAGAGCAACAGCAAAACAGGAAGTTTAACTCCATTGAACTTCTTTGTAGAGAATCTTTTGCTTATAGTCTTAAAATCAGTTAAGGTGAAGATTTCTGGAGAAGCTTAGTTAAGACTTTTTTTGTGGAGGAGGGGGTGCCACTACATTACCTGTATTCATTATTCTATAATGTGGACATACACTCCCCTTGACCAAACTTCAGTCAGGCTTTTCTGAACTTTCAACAAGGCTTTGATCTCGGTCCCTGTCCTCTCTGGTCTACCTATGCCAATCTTAGCAAGAATGGTACTAACTCCATTTAACAAGAATGTCCCCCACCCCTCTTGCATCCTTTAAGTAGTTTTCCCTTCACTGACTCCCTTAATTTGCTTTTTGTATATAAATCCCCAGCTGTATTTGCATTTGTTTCCTGTATTAAGAGCTGAGTCTGCTCTCTCTCCCCATTGCAATAGTCTTGAAGGCTTACTATTTTAACAAGAATAAATTTTTCCTTTAACAATGCCTTGAGTTGTTTATCTCTCTGTATATTTTCTTCCTCCTCCTCCTCCTCCTCTTCTTCTTTCTGCAGTGCTAGGAATTGAACCCAGGGGCATTTTACCACTGAGCTACATACCCAGCCCTTTTATTTTTTATTTTGAGATAGGGTCTCATTAAGATGCCAAGGCTGACCTGCAGTCCTCCTGCTCAGCTTCCTGAGTAGCTGGGATTACAGGTATGTGCCACTGTGCTCAGCTCATGCGAGCGCTCTCTCTCTCTCTCTCTCTCTCTCTCTCTCTCTCTCTCTCTCTCCCTAGCTTGTTGTTTTGTTTGGTTATCAGACATTGAAACAAGGGGTGTTTTACCATTGAGCCACATCCCCAGCCATTTCTATTTTTTTTTTTTAATTTTGAGACAGTGCATTATTAAGTCGCTTAGGTCCTTCCTAAATTGCTGAGGCTGGCCTCAAACTTACAATCTTCCTGCCTCAGCCTCCCAGGTTGCTGAAATTACAGGCATGCACCACCAAGACTGGGTATGATTGTTTTGGGTGTGAGAGTAAGACATGGTTGCTACATTATGGTTGAAACTGGTTTTTGAATCATCAATGGACGCTGAAAACATTGACAGGATTTGGGTTAAACTCAGTCTCTGAATATCATCCCCATGAATTACTTATTAATTACATTGSAATCAAATATCTTTACAATGGAGAGATCTGGCAGTCACAGTCTTAACTAAGTTATCAAGTTTAGTATCTTGAACAGTGTGACTTCTGAAGTGAAGCAGTAAGTACATAACATCACCTGCATAGCATCATTGCCCAGAATGTTTAACCTGGACTCTAACTATGAATCATGCAGGGACAACCAGGCAAATCCAGATTGAACTTTCTAAAGAAATCAATACTACTATGGGAACTTTGATTCAATCATGGAATGGTGGGAAATTGTTTATGAAAGACATTTTTTAAGGCAACAGTCCACTCTTAAGTTTGTGGACCGTTCAATGATACTAGTCATATTTTAGATAATATGTGACATTGTTAATTTTGTTGAATGTAATGATGGTATCACTTGTAGCATAACTTCCTTGCCTTTAGGAATATTGGGAAGGACTGTTCTCTTTCAGTCCTTATCACTTCAAATTTTTTCCTTTCCCCCAAAAGTCATCAATCTGAATGACTAGCCATGGGAAGTCCTTTCCGGGGTTTGGTAGGTGTAGTGATTTTACTAGAATTCAGGTTTAGGATACTTAGATTACTCGGCATTTGTAATCTGAAAGGCAGATCATAAGTGCTTCAGCTATACTTGCTTGGTCAAGAAGTATTTCCTGCGTCTCTTACCTTCCGTCTTTTTTTTTTTTTAAGTTGTAGATGAACACAATACCTTTGCTTTATTTTTTATGCAGGCTGAGGATGGAACCCAGTGCCTCACAAGGGCTAGGCATGGGCTCCATCACTGAGCTACAACCCCAGCCCCTTGCCTTTCTTCTTTAAGAGCTGACTCAGGGAAGGCATCTGTTCTCTAATCCTGACCTTTCACAGTTGACAGTAGCCTTCTCCATTGACTTTTTAAAAAATGAAATTTAATATTTTATTAATGTAACAAATAAAAAGAGTATAAAATATTACTGAATCCTTAAGTACAGTCTGAAAACAAGTGCTAGAAGAGGGTTTTTAGCAGGAAGGGTTTAGAGGGTTTTTAGCATGGAAGTTGGAGGAAATGGTTCTTATGCTGGGAAGTAAAGACCAGAAGAGCACGAAGGGGAAGAGGCTGTAGACCAGGGGGAGAAGTCACTGGGGTTCCAAGCCTCTCAGCTCTGCTTCTGGGTTTTCCACAGGAGGGGCGGCCATCTGCAGTGGTGACTTGGCCTTGACTGTAAGGAGTCACGGTGACTGCTCCTCACATGCTCCCGTGGCGATGCCCTACAGTGGGAAAGGCCTGGGGACCTGTCACTCTTCCTTTCCTCAACACCCTGCGAGGAGGGTTTGGGAGAAATAAGAGAAAGCAAAGCGGCGCAAGCTGCCTGTAGATTTCTTTGGATGCCTGGGGTGGTGCTGGTGGGCTGGGGCCAAAGCACTCACGCCCGAAGAAGATCCATCTGCGCGAGCGCGGAGCTGGGTCGCGATAGGTGTCTGGTCCAGACCGCGGCAGTAGCGCCGGCTCGGAGGGCCGCGCACCTGGGTCTTTTCGGCCGCGGGAGCGCGCCTGCTGCAGGGGCGGGCCGCGCGCCTGGGGGGGGGTGTCGGGCTGCGGGGGAATGGAGCCGGAAACGCCTTTCCGGAAGACAGGGGGCGGTGCCGGCCTGGGGCGGCTAGACGATGGCGGTGCCGCCGCGGGAGCTGTCCGCGTAGCTGGGAGCTGCGCAGAGCAGGATGGCTGCGATGGGGCCGGCCGCAGCTGGAGACCAGGTCCCGGGCGCCGAGGCGGAGCCGGGCTCCTCGCCGCCGCCGCCKCCCCTGGGTCCCCTGCTTCCTCTGCAGCGGGAGCCGCTGTACAACTGGCAGGCTACCAAGGCGTCGCTGAAGGAGCGCTTCGCTTTCCTCTTCAACTCGGAGCTGCTGAGCGATGTGCGCTTCGTACTGGGCAAGGGCCGCAGCGCTGCCGCCGCTGGGGGCCCGCAGCGCATCCCCGCACACCGTTTCGTGCTGGCAGCCGGCAGCGCAGTCTTCGACGCCATGTTCAACGGCGGCATGGCTACCACGTCGGCCGAGATCGAGCTGCCGGACGTCGAGCCCGCCGCCTTCCTGGCGCTGCTGAGGTGAGTGGCGGAGGCGCCGGGCGGGTGCTCCCCAGCTGGTGTGCTCCCAGAGGTTGGAGTCGTCCCGCAAGCCGGGCGGCATCTGCTGGTCTTGGGAGTAGATGTTGGTGTCTGTCTCCACCGGCGTGCGTCCTACCGTTGAAGGCGCCTGCACATTCCAGTTGGCCTGAGTTAGGAGAAGTGGTCAGAGTAGAGGATGGTCGAGGTGGTCCTGATTGCCCTCTTGCAAGATTTGTATTTTTGTTCACTTTTTAAAAAGTTATTGATTAACGTATTAGTTGTCAAGCCTCAGGAGAGTGAATAGCCAAGACAAATACATGTCTTTACTTGCCTTGTGTTTCTGTTCAAGAGGTCATATTTGCTCAAAAACGAATTTTGCCATGTATTATATTTGGTTCTGTCAATATTTTAGGATAGTAGAGTCACATATGATTGATTTTGTTTAGTGGAAGAGGTGTACTAGTTAGGCACTAATTAGCTTTTTATCACAACAGCTCTCCCTGTTAGGGAGGTGTAGGTATTTTTCCCAATTTTACAAATAGGACCGAGGCCTAGAAAAGTAACTAGTCCAAAGTAATGGAGCCAGCTCACACAGAAGACCATGTGTGTTTCATTATACCAAGACGTTTTTGGCTGCCTGAATAGAATGTGTTGTTTTTAAGGTAGCAGCATCTTGAGCCATACTGAATCGGGGACAGGTCATTGGAATCCAATGGAGAGCCCGCAAAGGCTCACCACTCAATCAGGAACCAATAGGAAATTGAATATAAAGTTCACACAATCAGAAATGAATGCTAAAATCCCATCAATAAATGGATAAAAGACAGGATTTTTTAATTATCAAAGAAAAGTACAACTTATTAACAAAAAATATTTAATCTTAGTAAATAAGGAAGTGCAATTTAAAACAATGAGATACTTTCCCCCTTCTTTTGACACCATTTTTTTTTTTAAGTTCACTTCTGAGGAGCACTTTCTGACAAAGATGGGGTTCAAAACCCTTTTGGAAAATAGTTTACTATAGGTTTTCTTTCCACACTCAGGAAGAATCAAAGTATTAGAAGAATGTTCTGTACAAAATATTTACAGTAGTGTTATTTATAATAAGGAGGAAGAAGTCAGCTGTAGGGAAAGGTTAGGTAAACATTATATTCCACTTGATGGAATATGATGCAGCCACTAAATTTGACACTTGTAAAAACCAGGTAATAATATGAAAAATGTTTATAATAAATAGAATTTAGAATTCCATGCAAAGTAATTACAACTATTGAAAGAAAGAGGCAAGCATACCTAAAGACAAGGATAGAAGGAAACACCAAGATGATGATCCTTTTTTTCCCTTCTTTTCTCTTTGTTTACTGTATTGTCAGTATTCAGTTGTATTTATTTTGTGTGGGGGGCCATTTTCTAGGTCATTTTGGTTTTTGGTTTGAAATTGACTAGGAGGATCAAGTAGATTATCTTTCCTTTCTCCTTACAGTATTACTTTTGGAGATGAGACTTTGAGAGCATTTTTAGTACTCTCCCTAAATGATACTTATGGCTAAATTAGAGAACCATCAATGTAAAAATATCATGAGTTTTTTTCCTTTGAAAAAGTGTTGAAATTGTTAGGATAGACTGTAGAATGAAAAATGTATGTTTGATCTTTTCCTTGAAGGTGCTAATCAGTCCTTTCCCATCAATAGAAAATAGTTGCTTTTATAGTCCTTGAAATGTAGCACAGTGCAGTTTCATTTCTCATTTTCTATTTTTAGTGCATTGTATTTTCATGATATTCATCCTTTAGTTATTGTTTCTATTCTGAAATTGCTACGTAGGCTGTTTTTTGTTATTGTTTTGTTTGCTTTTGTTTTCTGTAGTGGAAATTGAACCTAGGCCCATTTTTAAACTTAGTTATTGGCTGACTGAAGCATAGATGCTGTATTTACCTAGTAAAGACTTACGAACTAAGGTTTGAAAGCCATTTAAAAAACTGCTCACTTTGAACTGCTTGCCCTTTAAATAATATTCTTCATTTGCTCATTTAAAAAAATTTTTTTTTTAGTTGTAGGTGGACACAATATCATTATTTATTTATTTTTATGTGCTGCTCAGAATCGAACCCAGTACCTCATATGTGCGGAGGGAGGCACTCTGCCACTGAGCTCCAGCTCCAGCCCTCTTTCATTTGTTCATTTGACCATTGTTATATGCCTCCCTGTGCCAGTCACTGGTTTCGGTTTTGGTATATAGCAGTGAAGAAGAAAAGTCTCTGCCATCATAAAGCTTATATTCTAGTAAGGAAAAACTAAGATAAGTCAAATACTGATGAGTGTTTTGAAGAAAAATGATCAAGCCTATGGGGGAAGAAGCATTCTAAGCAAGAAAAAGTATGTTTTAGGTGCTGAGTTTCTACTGTTGGAAGAACTGCCAGAGTAAACCAGTGTGATTGGAGTCGAATAAGAAGGAAGTACCTGGCATGCGTGCGGCCCGAGTTCTATCCACAGCACCATATACAAACAAAGATGTTGTGCCCGCTGAAAACTAAAAACAAAAAACAAGTAAATGTTAAAAAATTCTCTCTCTCTCTCTCTCTCTCTCATACTTTCTCTTAAAAAAAAAAAAAGGAAGTAATAGGGGCTGGGGCTATGGCTCAGTATAGAGCACTTGCCTCGTATACATGAGGCACTGGATTCAATCCTCAGCACCACATAAAAATAAAGAAAGAAAGAAAATAAAGAAAAGATATTGTGTCCATCTACAACTAAAAAAAATATTTTTTTTTTCAAAAAAAGAGGGAAGTAATAGAAGATAAGGTTAAAAAAACCAAAAGCAACAATAAACCCTGACAGGATCATGCAGGACTTTAGAGAATGAAGGACTTCGAGTTTCATCTAAATGTGATGAAAAGTATGTGGAGGATTTTGACCAGGGGTGTGCTGTGATTTGGTTTACGTGTTTTAAAACTCATTTTTATAGTTGTTTGGAGATCAGACCATAGGGGGAATAAAATAAGATGCGGTAGGATGAACTAAAAGACTTTTATAGTAGTCCAGGCAAGAAAAAAAAGAAAGAATGAATTGTGTTTAAATGATTAGACCAAATGAGATCATGTAGGGAACGGATATGGATTGTGAAGAGAGATACAAGGATGAGTGCTGGTATCTTCCAGTGTGTGTGGAGATGTAGCCACAGAAAAGGATCATAAAATGAAACAGGCAACTGTTAGTGCAATCCTAAAGGTCAAGTTGAAGATAATGTTTGAAGAAAGAGGGAGTGGAAAAGTGGCCAGCTATGTAAAATACCTTTGAGAGTTGGGTCAAAAGACATTGAATTGATTATTAGTTGTTGGGGTTTTTGGCAGGAGTGGGGGCGACTGGGGATTGAACTCAGGGGCACTCAGCCATTGAGCCACATCCCCAGCCCTATTTTGTAATTTTWAAAAAAATTTAGAGACAGAGTCTCACTGAGTTACTTAGCTCCTTAGCTCCTTGCTTTTGCTGAGGCTGGCTTTGAACTTGCGATCCTCCTGCCTCAGCCTCCTCAGTGGATGGGATTACAGGTGTGCGCCACTGTGCCTGATAATGATTAGTTTTGATGAGAGGGCAACTGTGGATATAACCCTGTGGAGTGTTTTTGGCTGACTAGAGGAGGTTGGGGAGAAAATGGGAGATGAGGAACTGCAGATAGCTAGTATAATCGATCATGTCATTTTGTTGCAAAGGGGAGCAGCGAAATGGAGGAATGACTGGAAGGGTAACTTTTCCTTAGGATGTTGTCCTCATCAGCATCTTCTTTTCCCCCATTAATGCATGGCATATTCCAGACTTTAATTTTCAACTGGACTTTCACATAGAGAGGTCTGATACCTATGCAGATGTACCTGTCTTTAATAAAAACATCTTTGTTTGATGAGTACTTGCTGTGTGCCATTTACTGTTCTTATGTACCTTATGTGGACTCACATTTCAGATTATAGTCTTTTGAGGCAGGCTCACTTAGTATTATCTCCTGTCAGCTTTATAATGCTATAAAGAATCCCAAAATTCTGGTGCTTAAACTAATTTATTCTTGGTCCTGATTCTGTGGGTCATCTGGGAAGTGACTTGTAGGCTTGACTGTCAGTTGTAATTTGGTTTCATTTTGTTGTACAGATTTCTCATCCTTTTCAAGACTTAACTCTCTCTACCAATGCTGTTAACAATTATCGTTCTAATATTGCAAATAAGTATCATGGTTCCTCTGAATCTTTTAATGATTCATTCATTCTTTTCTTTTCTTTTTTCCTGTATTTTTTTTTTTTTTTGCCTATAGGATGAACAGGCACACAAAACCTTTGTGATTTGATCTTTGTCCCCACCCCCAATCCACTCAGTGTCCCAAACCTGATTCCTCATGGTCTTTTTCTTGTTTTAATGCCTGTCTTAGAAAAGAGCTCCATATCTTCCTACTTTGCAGTCT